TTTCAGCTAGTGGAATTCAGGGAGCAGGAGCAGTGCTACACTGGCTTAATAGCAAGTAATGGGTGCTGAAGTAGAAAAGATCGATGAGGACTGCTCTTTGACTTGGCCACGAATGGGAGCCAAAAGCACATAAGGTTAGTGGAATGAGGAGAGAAAAGAGAGGGGAGGGTTGGTTTGTTTAAGGGTGTGAAACTCTGTGTATAATCTGGTAGACAGCCCATCCTAGGTATGTGGAGGAGACAAAGAAGAGGTCTCTGAAGCCCCCAAGAAGCGGGAGGGAATGGCCCAAGTTCTGGTAGAGGGTCTGACCCCTGAAAAGAAGAGGAGCACCTCAGTTGCTGAGAAAGGGGGGTGGTGGTGGGAGAGATTGGCATGAAAGGGAGTATGTTTGTAAGGATGAAGATTTCTAGAGTAAGGAATTGTGGAGTTCCTAGCTTTGAACAGCCTCTTTTGCCACCTGAATGGGAGACAGCCATTTGGTTGAGTAAGGATGCAAGTTAATGGCCTCCTATGCAATACCCAGGTTGTATTACGTAGTTATAGACATTTTGTTGATCTGATAAATATGAAGTAAGACTGTGTCCTTGAACAGCTGTCAGGGATCAGAAGCCATAGCCATGCTACTGAAGGGAGTCTTCAAGGAAATTGGAGCAAGACTTTCTGTTCCCTATCATGCTCAAAAACGGTTAAGTCAAACAACCATTGTATACATATATCCAGCCTGTTTCAATACAAAGCATGAATGTAGTAGTAAGTATTCATGTGATCAGCATTTTCAATGTTATGATCAGAGTATTGGAGATAGGGACACACAGACACACACACTCATAGGAAGGTGTGGGAGAAGGTGAATGAACCAAAAGCCACCAGGCACACACAGACCTGTAGTTGAACAAACTGGTCTTTTTTTTTTTTTTTTTTTTTTTCACTTCAGTGAGGAAGAATGCTCATCATAGGGTGCTATGGGACATTTTAGTAAGATGGTGTTAGAACCTCTCATAGGATCCGAGTTTGTTAGGGTGGTTTCAGGGATGATCTAAGGAGCAGAGACACACTTTGTACTGGGTACCATCAGATGGCAGGAAAATTCTATGAGGTGATTATTTCTGTGAATCTTATTTTAGGGAGGGGAGACTAGAGGGAAGCTATAATAGGTTTAAATAAAAAGAGTGGCAGTCACCCATTTAGTCAAGAGAGGGATGTTTGGTATGGTGGGTTGCACAGCCACCTTGTTTCAGTGTCACTTTATCTTAGTCTGAGTGACTTCACTTGATAATCTATGGGATTATCCCAATTGGAGAAGAAGGTGGTCTGAGTGTGAGACCAGCTTGTATCAACATTTATGTTTAACTGAAAATCACAGCAGTTCCAGACTTCAGACACTGCTTTATTTTTCATACAACTGTATATGTGGAAAAAAATACATAGGCAAATATGATACATATATTTATATCCTATTTAACTCTAGTTTTGTAATGAGTTTTTATCCTTTTATCCTTTTTTTGTGCTTTTTTTTTTTTTAGATTTATTTATTTGACAGATAGTTACAGACAGAGAGAGAAAGGTCTTCCTTCCGTTGGTTCACCCGCCAAATGGTCACTACAGCTGGAACTACGCTGATCCAAAGCCAGGAGCTGGGTGCCTCTTCCTTGTCTCCCATGTGGGTGCAGGGGCCCAGGCACTTGGGCCATCCTCCACTGCTTTCCCAGGCCACAGCAGAGAGCTGGACTGGAAGAGGAGTAATTGGGACTAGAACCCGGTGCCCATATGGGATGCCAGCACCGCAGGTGGAGGATTAACCTAGTGCACCACTGTGCCAGCCCCCTTGAGTGCATTTTTTAACATGTATTTGGCAAAATGGAAGACCCAGATTGAGTCCCTGTCTCCTGGCTTCAGTCTGGCCTAGCCCTGGCTGTTGTAGACATCTGGGGAGTACAGTAGCTGATAGGAGAGAGATCCATCTCTTTATTCCCCCTTCCTTTTCTCCTGTTCCCCCTCCAGTGTGTGTGTGTTTGTCCTCCTAATGCAGTGTGTGCTTTATCAGTATCGGCATGCCAGGACTCATTCCATTAGGATGTACTTTTTCAGCCTTGTCAGTAGCATAAAACGTCTTGCCATTAGGAAAACTCTAATTTCTGGGGAATGAGCAGAAAACAGAAGATGCTTGTGTTGATCCAGGAGGTGTGTGGGTGGTGGTGGGGGCAGAGAGGAGGGACATTTTCAGAACTGTTGACAAGACAGGGTGGACAGAACTTTAAGTCAGATGTGGTGGGGAGGGAAGCCGGAAGGGTGAAGGATGAAAACAGAGGTGTCTGGCTGAGTCATTTGGGAGGAGATGTTGCTCTGCACCGTGGAGCAAGGGGAAGGCTACAAATGGGCAGGGAAGTAACAAATCTTCTATTTTTTTTTTTTGCCAGAAATACAACTTTATTTAATTTTAATTGACATAATAACTTAGAGTTATTTGTTATGTGATATTTTGATACAGACACACAATAGGAAATGATCAAATCAGGATAACTAGCATTTCCATCACCTCAGACATTCATCATTTTGATGTGTTGGGAGCATTTGAAATCCTCTCCTTTAGCAACTTTGAAGTAGAATTCATTGGTAACTGTAGTCACTCTTGACATCCAGAGCTGTAACTGCCCAGGAACTGACATCCTTAGTTATTTTGTCAGCGTATTTTCTGCCCATAGGCAAATCTATGTAAGTGAAAAATTATGATTAGAAGATTGTTTGAAGGAGCTAGCATGGGTATTGTAGGGATTGTTGTCATCAGTGTGTGACAGCTTTAGAGTTTTATGTACCCTTAGAAACAATGGTCTGATCCCAAAACCATATCCTGAACCTATGTGCTGAAGTGTTGGATGCCAAAGATGCCCTAGTAGGTCTGATAGGATGTCAGCACCTTGTATGAGAATTGGTATTTGGGAGGTACTCAGTGCATGTTTTAAGGAGTCCAGGCTTAACAGAACTACTGTTTGTCTACCATGGGTGCAAGGAAGTGAATGAAGCTCTGTCTTCTAATCATTTGCCAACCTGTTTTGAAACTACTTGACAAATTTATTATGTAACTGGTAGACATGTTTTTAACAGAAATGTTTTGAGGGAAGAAGGGGGAGAGAGATGGAGAGTCTTAACTTTTTAATATAAAGAGCAGATTTAATGTAGTTCATACAATTCTAAGAATATAATGATACTTTGCTACACCTACCTCCCCCCTTCTGATGGGAATTTAAGTATAATTGCCTGCAAATTAAGGTCCTTCCATTACTGATTTTCATTCTTAAAATCTGAACTCAAGGAGCAAAAAAAAAGACCTCCTGGTTAATGTGTCAGCTATGCAGGGACTAATTGATCAAGGAAATCTAATATATTTTATTTCAATTTGCTCTTATTTATGCATTGTCTTTTTTTCCTCTTTATATTAGGCTTTCTCCCAGCTGACTTATTCCTGCCCTTAATAAAAATCACTTTTCTTGCTAAGATTTTGTCTATTATAGAATATACAATTACATTTTATTGTAGATAAAACAGGAAGAGTTTTTTGATATGAGAATTCCCTTCTCTGTACAATTAATAGGAAAAATAATTGATTAGTTTTGCCCATTAATACATACATATAATGAATTCTATTATTTATCTATTTCTGAAATTACATACTGTTTTTCCTAGATGACAATGGAGTGAAATATTATTTACATAAACCTACAAAGATGAAAAATCTCTAACTGCTGCTTGGGATTGTATTTCAGAGTAGTGTTATAGAATCGTGAAAGCCTGGGATTGGTTCCCTGGTTATCTTGGGCAGTGCCCTAATTATACCTTTAAATAGAAGACATTGCTCTTTCTTTTTTTTAATTCCTTTTTGTATGCCTGATCTGTTACTGAATTATTCATGTGCCTTTGGGAGTCGCTAAATTTCTCCATTAACCAGGATTTTAAGATAACAGTTAAATATAATAATAGATTTGTCTTAGGAATTCCTTTTCACTATTTTGGTTATGTTTATTTTAAGCATTTATAACATTTAAGGTTCATATAACTACTACATTAGAATGAATATCATACTGAATTGTTGGAAATCTAATGGATTCTTTTTGAAAAGATATCTTAAAAATCTTAGAGTGTAATCCCTTTATCTTGTATGTCAAAAAGTCAAGACTGATATAATGGATTGACTTCTGAGTTTCTTGAGTAAAAAAAAAAAATAGGGAATCTGAATTGATAAACCAGTTGGTGGAGAGGATGGCTTTTATTTTATATGTAATAGAAATTAAGCAAAAGGCTTTAGGAGTAATGAACAAATAATTGTAACTACTTCATATCCTTTCTCATTTAAGTAGATATTTTAAAAAATTATCTATTTGAACTTCGGAGTCATTTTAACTTTACATTAGTTAAGAATGCCTGAGGTATGTTTCTTTCAGTGCTAAAACTCTTCCCTCATTTTTGAATTAATTGAATGATCCTACATTTGAGTATGATTTAGTTATCTGTGTAAGGATATAGTGATTGTTCCTTGTTAGGACTGAAATTTATCATTAGGAGAAAGTATTTTCATTTCTTTATGTAAGCATATCATTTTGTGATATAATTACTTTTAACAGACTTAGGTGTTTTTACTAAACTAGTTGAGGCTTTTGAAACTAGGAGGTACTTTAGAATTCAGTTGACCTGGCTGCTTCACTTTATAGCCAGTGATACTACAAAACAAAGGGTGATACACTGGGTCAGGATAAAACCTGAACCTCACTCTGATGTTTGATCCACTGCTTTTCACCCTATAACCCATGTTAGTCTGTGAATATGAAGTGGCATGCTATTTAAAAGAAAGGATCATGGGATAATTCCAAAGGAAAAGGGTACGCGTCCTTTTCAGAGAACCCGCTATACTTAGGCGTTCACTTAAGGGGTCTCCAACTTCTGTTCTGCAGACAAAATACTTCTGTGGTGGGATAGTCATGCTAATAAAATCAATTTTTGCTTTTTAGGTGAGAGTTATGTGTGTGCATCCAATGAGCCATTTCGTAAAGTTGATTACACCAAAAATGTTAACCCAAACTGGTCTGTGAACATCAAGGGTGGGACAACTCGGACCTTGGCCGCTGCTGCCTCTGTGAAAAGTGAAGTGAAAGAAAGTAAAGATTTCATCAAACCTAAATTAGTGACTGTGATTCGAAGTGGAGTGAAGCCGAGAAAAGCCGTGCGGATCCTTCTGAATAAAAAGACTGCTCATTCCTTTGAACAAGTCTTAACAGATATCACCGAAGCCATTAAACTAGACTCAGGAGTGGTCAAGAGGCTCTGTACCCTGGATGGGAAGCAGGTAAGAGGCTTCTAGCCCCCATTTCAGCAGGTGCACCCTCAGCAACAGAAATAGAGTGGTCTGCTGGCTGTAGTTCCAGTAGTCTTGCTCGTGATGTGTGTGCATGTGTGATCATGTATTGGCCTTCATTGTGAAAAATGGAACCAGCTTACATTTTCCAAATACCTTAAAGGCAAATACAGAGAAGTCCATCCTAGTCTTCTTTTGGTCACTGGAAGGGAGAAATGTAAATTGCCGAGAGGAAAAGTGTAAATCAAAGAATGGTCTGTCCTTTATTGAGTGGGATAGTGTCTGTTTAAGAATAACTTGATTAGTAAAGTCACTATGCGTTGGGTTTCACGAGTGAAAATTAAAGGTGTTTGACATTTTCAGAAACACCTTTCCTCTCTACTTATGCAAAATATGGAAAATGCATTTCAAACAATAGTACACTTAAGGTCCATATAAGTTATAGGGAAGAGTAGAGCTAATTAGTCATTTATTAAAAATGAACATGAATTGCTTAGGAAATGTAAGTCGAATTATGGTAACAATATATCAGGGACTCTGATGGACTTGAGAAAATGAGTAAATTGCAAGAGCACAGGAATAGCAGTTACATAAATATTCCATTTTGCCACATTAGGTTATCATTCCTAAAGATAGACATTTGGTTTCTAAGGTGCATTCTTCAGTTTCCATATAAGGTTAAGTTGTTTGTATTTACATTGTATTAAAGATGATAGTTTCTAACATTGGATTTGTTTCTCCATCGCTTTTTGTTTCTCTCCTGTAACATAATTAATTTTGAAGTGTTTGACTCTTACTATGATTCATTCTCAGAACTCTAAGTGCTGAGGCAGTGACTTCTAGAAAAGCACAATCAAAGTACTTTCTAATTTTCTAAGATCAGATCTGGTTACTAGTGTGTTTTCTGAAACATTAGCAAAATTTTATACATATATTCTGAAGTTTCTGGTAGATTATTTTTATTTTATATTTTATATGTAATTTTTTATATATTAAATATATTTTATATGAGATTAGAGTGACTTTTCTAAGTTAATGATTTGAAGGTATAAGCTTCATAGCAGCCTGCCCCCAGAGAAGTTCACAGAATGCATGAAATAGACACTTGGTCCAGCTGAGTTAATCACATGAGAACACAAACCACCTAAGATTCACTGTGCAAGTAATGGAAAATAGGACATAGGAAAAAAGATTTGATACATCAAATAGTTGTTCTTGATAGACACAGGGAAGACAGAAGTATAGATGCCTAACCAAAGGAAAAGTGAAAATCTCAGTATGCCAGATTAGAAAAAAAGGCACATAAACAGTAAATGAAGATGAGATCTTAAATTAGAATACAAATTTCAGAATCTCCAAATAAATGATATTCAAGGAAAATGTTTAAAAGCTTATTTTAGTAACCATTTCAATTTTTGTAGTTATCTCCCAAAAAATTATCTTCAAAAAGGCTCAAGACTAGAAATAAAAAATGTCAGATAATGCACAAGCACCTCAAAGTCATCAGTATTTTCAGAATAATACACTGTGATGAGGAGGACTTATGTCAATAACTAAAGGATATAGTAATTTGTATTAAACATCTTTTGAATGTGAGAACCATAGAGTAAAGCCTAAGAATAGCTCATGTATGGTGGATCATAAAGATATTGCAAAGACATTGATAAAAATGAAATCCATTGGAGATTTAGTAATAAAAATGGAAGAAGATTTTTTAATATACTCCAAATTTTCTTAAATGAAAGCCAGTGTACTGCTAAATGAATGACACTGGGAGTATTATGATGATTGGGTCCAAGGACTAGGGTGCCTGTAGCCCCAGTCTTTGGCATGCTTCTGGATATTCTTCCTGGATTCTATTTATAGTTTAATTGTTTTAATGGAAACCTCAGTGATTTTTTTAAAGACCTAACAAAGTGATTTTAAAAGTTAATTGGGGAAAAAAAAGGGAAATTTTGGAAATATTAATGAGTTCTCTATTAAATCATCATTCTTATGCTGTACCAAAAATAAATTCCATGTGTTTTGAAAATATGGATGTCAAAAGGAAACAAAAGAACTAAAAGTAAATATATCAGTAGTTACATTGAACTGGGAAAGGATTTTCTGAGGGAGCAAGTAGAGGGGAAATGTTGGTTGAGTGTAAAAATGAAACATTTCTGGATGTTAAGTGAGCGTAGTGAGTTGTAATATTTATATTTTACATAATTTATATAATTTATCAGTGAGTTAGAATTTCACACAAAAGAAACTCTACAATAGAAAAATGGATAAATGTCTAAACAGACAATCTGAAATGCAGAATTATAAATAGTACACATTTGAAAGTGTTCAATCTCACTAATAAAATGTGAATTAAAGCAGTGATATTTTTAATATTAAATAAAAATGACAGTTTTAAAAGAGAATGTTCACTTCTTTAAATATGTTGTGAATTGGCATTCTCAAATGATATTACAATTGTAAAGTTCCTGAGTTTAATAGAAAGCCATTTGTTAATATATATAACAAAATATATGTGTCTGTTACTCAAACCAGAAAGTTAACTTTAGGAATTGATCCCAAATAACCTCAGAAGCAAACACATTAAACTTATTTTCTTCTTTGCATAAAAGCAGAAAGATTAAAAACAGTTTAAAATTCCTAAATAAGAAAACAGCTAAATAACCCTAACATGTATTCACATGATATACTAGCCATTGAGAATTACATTTGGGAGAATATTTAAAGGCATTAGAGAATATTAAATGGAAAAAGCAAAAAAGGGGCGGCCTGGCGCTGTGGCGTAGCCAGTAAAGCCACTGCCTGCAGTGCCAGCATCCCATTTGGGCACTGATTCAAGTCCCAGCTGATCCACTTCTGATCAGCTCTCTGGTATGGCCTGGGAAAGCAGTGGAAGGTGGCCCAAGTCCTTGTGCCCCTGCACCCATGTAAGAGATCCAGAAGAAGCTCCTGGCTCCTGGCTTTGGATCATTGCAGCTCCTGCAGTTGCAGCCTGCAGTTGCAGCCAGTTGGGGAGTGAAACAGCAGATAGAAAATCTCTCAATCTCGCCCTCGCCCTCGCCCTCGCCCTCCCTCTCCCTCTCTCTCCCTCTCTCTCCCTCTCTCTCCCTCCCCCTCCCTCCCTCCCTCCGCCTCTTTCTCTCCCCGCCTCTTTCTCTCCCCGCCTCTCTCTCTCTCTCCCCGCCTCTCTCTCTCCCCCCTCTCTCTCTCCCCGCCTCTCTCTCTCTCCCCACCTCTCTCTCGCTCGCTCGCTCTCGCTCTCTCTCTCCCCACCTCTCCCCCCACCTCTCTCTGCCTCTCTGTATAATTCTGACTTTCAAATAAATAAATAAAACTTGCAAAAAAACAGTGTAGTATGTTTTCAATTTTGCATGAAATCTAGTAGAATAAGAAGTTTTTGAAAAACTAAGAAGGAAACAGGATTTCTGATTTCCACTACTTGTTTGTTCAAAAACAAAAAACTAAGAAAACATGATTGATCTCACTTGATGTGATATTAGAAATTCAAACACATTATGAGTTAATTCTTGAAATTTTGGTAAAATGTTAGAAGTATCACTGTCACTATTTATGCCTTATAAACAAACATTTTCCAGGTGCAAAGAAAAGTTTTAAATTTTAAATAACATTTATTGGAAAAATTACCTATTTTACTTTTGACAGGCACAGCTTTGGATACTGCCTTTTCCAGAGTGGCAAGTATCTTTAAAATTCTTGGAGCTGATTTAACTTTGTACTCTGTGTGGTCTTGCTATTCAAAACTTCAAGTCAGTTTTTGGTTGATAGCTTTTACAAGTGTAAAGAGGCCTGCGCTGCTGCTCACTAGGCTAATCATCCGCCTTGCGGCGCCGGCACACCGGGTTCTAGTCCCGGTTGGGGCGCCAGATTCTGTCCCGGTTGCCCCTCTTCCAGGCCAGCTCTCTGCTGTGGCCAGGGAGTGCAGTGAAAGATGGCCCAAGTGCTTGGGCCCTGCACCCACATGGGAGACCAGGATAAGTACCTGGCTCCTGCCATCAGTTGCTCCTCTTCCAGTCCAGCTCTGTGCTGTGGCCCGGGAAGGCAATGCAGGATAGCCCAGGTCCTTGGGCCCTGTACCCGCATGGGAGACCAGGAGGAAGCACCTGGCTCCTGGCTTCGGATCGGTGTAGCTCTGGCTGTGGCAGCCATTTTGGGGGTGAACCAATGGAAGGAAGACCTTTCTCTCTGTCTCTCTAACTCTGCCTGTAAAAAAAAAAAAAAAAAAAAAAATCTATTAATGAGTTGTCTCTGCACAAAATTCCAGGTTGCTTTCTCTGGTTACTTCCTACTCAGATTTGTTGTTTTCATTTTAAATTAATCTGTTTTATACAGATTATAGATTAAATCAGTTTGGAAGTTCACTCCCTCATGATACCTATTCTAGAGTTTTAAGATAACCAGGGCGCCTTATGTTGGCATGATAGCTTTCCTGCTTGAAGAGACGATGTGTGTCAAGTGCCAGCAGCATTTTCAAGGACGTTGTTAAAACTGTGTTCCTTGGATTTTCGTGTCCTGAAAAATGGATGACTTCACTTAGAAGGTCTGACTTGCTTTGTGCAGCTAACTCTTGTGTCTGTTTATAAAATCACTTCAAATAAAATAATTTTAGGATTTTATTCATGCTAGCTCTCAGATTTTCTTTGGTGTAGAGCCATGGTTCTCAACCAGGAGTGATTCCACTCCTAGGGGACATATGGCAATGTCCAAATCATTTTTTGAATGTTGGAATTAGGGGTAGCAATTCTATTGGCATCTTGTGGGTAGAAGCCAAGGATGCTGCTCACCATCCTACAGTGTGCAGAACAACCACAACAGGATACTTTGGGGTCCAAAATGTTAATAGTGCTGAGATTCAGAAATCCTGGTTGAGAGTAAGCAAGATGATTCAAAAGGAGGGGCTGCTTCTTTGAATACTAACTTTGTTTTTGGGCCGCGTGCTGCACTACTTCAGAACTTACAGGTGCTCTCCT